TACTGAAATATGCAGCAAAAATTTGCAGAAAAGTTTATATTATTTTAATCAATCTTTTCCAACATTGATGTAAATCTAATAAAATTTTGTTTCAAGTATAATCAAGTAGATGAATGATTGTTAGATTTACGAGTTAAGGAAAGCCTGTGTTTCAAACTAGAAGAATATACGAGCCGATAAGTAATTTGTTTATAAAGAAATAATAAATATTTCTGTTAAATGTTAATAAATTCTGTCTTTGAACAGCGACTAATTTCTTTTTCTTTTTTTCTTTTTTCTTGCGTTTGGATACTAATTTTAGAACTACACTTTAATATACAGACACGAACCTCCAGTGTGTACATTGCTTAATATTAATTGTACACCATGCATAGTTATTAAGTTATTATAATTGATCGTCTATTATTATATATTATGATATAGCTGATAATAAATAAGAAATATAAAATTATTATAATTGACGTTTGAGAGTGAAATTTTACGATAAAACAATTAATGCCGTATAAAGTTGAACGATCCAAGTGATTGATAAATTTTAATTATTTAGGCACCTCCAAATAATTTTTGTTTGTTTAACATTTTTTTTTAGTAAGTAATAATTTTTTTTTTTTACGATGTCCAATAAACAAGTTTAAACATTATTTTAATTATTGTTAAACTTATGAGCAAAAATATAGTTTCACTTTCAAACGTGTAAAGAGCTATATAAATAATTTTTCACAAGAAGGCATTAGAAATCTTATGGAAACTTAAAAATTAAATTTATTAAACCATATATCGCACTATGTATGTGTAAGCGTAAAGCGTACAAATGCGCACTTCCAATGAGCCGTAATAAAGTAAATTTTATATTGCATAAATAAGAAAATAGCGTTTGAATCGGTATATATATATATATATATATATATGGTGTTTCACAATTTATTTTTGTATCATTATTGGGCTATGGTTAAAAGCTATAAATTTTACGTTAAATTTTTATTATTCCACCAATTTGCAATCGACATAGTTTTACTTGTACCAGCATTTTAAATGAGTTTAATATTAGACATAAATTGCAGGTAGGATATCGAGCAGTTGCGTACGCAAGAAAAAGTATCGACTTATTTACACGTCAAAGAAACTTCTGGAGCGCGTCTGAAGTGAAACTGATAAAACATTAAAAATCAAAGCGCACGCACACACGCCCGTGCTAAAAGAGTGAAGCAGCAAACAAGGGTGTAGTTCAACGTCGTTACACTTGGGCGAGAGCGAATCGTGAAAAGAAACTCGGCAAATAAGCGAAAGTGTGGACAGAAAAAAGTAAAACGGTGAGAGCTTTTGAAGCTAAAGCAGCTCCCAGCATGATAAACTTCTCCAACTGGCGGAGGTACGATGAAACCGCAACTGTACGCATAATTCGTTCGATAATAATGAGCGAATCGAAGGAAAGTTGGGACGAGACGGACGTGGAGGACAATCGCTAAAAATCATTAGCAAATGTCCCATCTATTAGGAAAACGCCGAGTTTACCGGGAAAATTCGCGAACCCTCTCGCGTATCCTGGTCTACACGCTCGTCTATCGTCTTGTCGCGCAATCGTCTCTCCGGCAATGTAAACGTTTTTATTAATTTCAAGAAAAAAACAAAACAAAACAAAAAAAAAAAAATTCAAATCTCGCAACATAGGAATCTGACGTCGTCAATAATGTAAACAAATGCAATGCTATTTCGCTGCGCATACTGCTGTGAATTGATTTAGTAATGTTTCGATAAATACGATAGCCTGTCATTCATCAACAAGGTCTTTATAATTGTACTAAGTATAATTTTACCAAGGAACGAGACATCAATTACCTTCTTTTTACATATCAAGTGCGTGCGATTAATTAACTCGCTAATATAGTTTTTAATCGAATTTTCTTAAAAAGCACTTTCAGATATTTCCATATAGTAGCGTCAAGTGTATCGATTGGGGAGAAAGCCATTTTAGAAAATTGTAAATAAAAGAAACTCTGCTAAAACATCTCGTAAGAAAATTTACGTATTTTTCGTAAGATGTAAATGTCGGCGAAGTTTTATTCCCTCATCGGTTAAAGAGCGGACCTCAACGATTTCTAAATCCTCGCTTGATACGCTATCGCCGCGGTATACACAGAGACAAATCGGCAAAGAGAAACGGCGCTGCGAATTGTTGAACAGGCGTCATGCTAGAATATTTCTCTCCTCTTCGTTCGCACTTAACGGGCCGCTCGATCATCCGGAGTGAGGAAAAGGTATATTGTTTGACTAGATTCACAACTCCGAGTTTTATCCATTTGTTTCCGAGCCACGAGCGACTTGTCCATAGTCGTCGCGTGTTTTGTTGGGTGAGTCATGCGAGGTAGTATCGGGCGCCGTCAACGCCGCCGCTATGCAATAAAAAGCGCGGCGAATCTCACCGGTGCAATACGCGCACAAAGTGCACGTGAAAGTCATAATCACCTCTTCGCGTAGAATGACTACGGTGAAACTCGCGGGACTGCGGTCTATATAAAGTGGCGCAAAGTTCTCGCGATATTAAAGAGTCGCGCATTTTGTGGCTTGGCCTTTGAACGCCGGATTTCTGATATTGCATATTTAGATCGTTACGTAGGACTGCATTAAAAGCTCGGCGGACTTGGGAGATCAGCGGGCCGAATTCGTAACGATAAGATCGGACGAGAGCGCCGAACGTTGGTAACTTTATCACACTTTCTAACAAAGTCCGCGAGTGCTATTGCCGAATGAGAATCACGATCCGTGCTATTCCGAATATACGTGCCTTTGCTGAATTATTTCCTCACAACTGGGCTATCGCCGAATACCTTTACTCGCGTATTATGCTACTGCATTTTTCTACAGCTTCGAAGCTGATAGTGCTTTTATCAATTTCCAATGACGAAATATTTGAATGTTATCGCATTTGCTGTACGCTTTTCTCGCGCCCCGTCACTTTGTTAATATGATAACGTTCCGTAAATATTCAAAAGAAAGTATGACGAAAATAAAGAGCGATAAAAGCAAACTAATCGATATTTTCAATAAATCGCCAAACAAAAGCAAATGTTACAGAGCGTACATGTGTATACATACTACATGTGTTAGTATTACAAGTATTACCTATTTACCTCAACTTTATCTTTTCGAAATTTTTAAGTCTTTTCGGCCTATGTAAATAATGAATTTATAATTAAGCTTCGGTGGGATTAAAAAATCGTTCGTTCAAAAGATTATTGGAAAATTTTAATAATTTCAAGCAAATTGTGAAATTCGGTGAATTATAAGGGACTAATAATGCAAGATCTTTCATACGGTACACATCGATCGCTAGCTAAACTATTTTTACTACAATAACATGACACAATCAATATTATATTATATTATTATATATTCATTAAAGTCCATTTGGCATTATCAAATGTATGCAAGATTTATATACATAGACCATACATAGAAGAACAGTACAATGAATATCAACGAACTTTATTCCACAAGCCAACTTTTTAAGTCTTACAGAAATACTTACGATTACGCATATTTCCCCTTGTAAATAAATACTTATGCCATGTCTTACCCAAATCGTTAGGAAGATTTTAATTTATCCTTAAATATGCCTTCAAATTACGAGAGAAATAATTTTTAATTTTTACAACTATTAGAATATACTTAGAATATAAAATACTACCTTCCACGCTGATAATTCTCAGCAACGCTCAATCTCAATATAAATTTTACGCTGCTCTCATTTAAATTACAACCTATCAATTATTAATTCTTAAAATTATAAATTAAATTTTTTGTTGCGCAAAATTAAGTTTTTAATTAACAATATAATAAATTGAATATTTTTCGGGGATATTAGATGGTCGATGGGACTATAACGAACGTTAATGCGTAGCTAAACAGTAGCCAGCTAAACACATTTCATATATTACGGGGAAAATTACAATTTCATAAATGGCCAACGACACGTGGCGTAAACGCACGCTTATACCTTGTTTCGAGAAACAGATGTTCGAGTAAAAAGTCCAAAAATAACGAAAGAAACGAGTGATTCGGCACGGTTGTCGGTACACTCGTAAAGGGCAACCGCCAATGAACCTTTGACGCAGTGCCGGAAACGAGTGCCGAAAAGCCAAATGGAATATACCTTGGAGCGTACGGTGCCGTTAACTAATATCTGAGCGAACAAGGGCCTATAAAATATAGGAGGGCGAAGACCGGGAAAACGTTGGGATATTTGCGTGGCTCCTAATCCAATTCTAACTTAAAGTTGTAAGTTATAAAAAGAGAACGTCGTTCGAAAGAATTTCCTCTTTCCCGTGACTTTTGTTCGAAGGGGGGGGAAGCTCAACTATTCGCAGATCCTGACACTCTCTTGCTAGATTATGAAACGGCATATTATTAATTGACTTGCGTGATCTCCTGGATTTTTTTTTCTCAATATTACACGACGGATAGTTACATGGATAAGCGAGTTTTATTTTGTTTTCTTTTTCTTTCAAGAAGCGCGAGCCAGATTAAATTAATGTTAATGTCAACAAACGAAAGTGTCGCGAGAGAAATGTAAATTATCTAAAACGTTTTTATAATGTAATTTATGATTCCAATAGTTATATTAAAATCAATTAATTAGTTTATAATGGCGTTGGCTGACAAAATTACGTTAGAGCCTCGAGAGTCGCTTTACTCTACGATTCCTTACATAATGTTTAACACCAATAATAATTATTTCCAGTATCAAGTCTGCCACACGGTATTTTTTTTTTGTTTTTTTTTTT